CACCCATAGCGTCGCATCGAGCTTCCCAAGAGCCCTGCTCGTTCTCCGGCTTTTCCTCCATCTGATGAGTACAGTAGCTGGGAAGCTGGGGTCTCCGCGGAGGATTTGAAAAGGATGAAGTATGAATTACAAGGTGGTTCCGGTGCGTGGCTTTTACTTTTCAATACTTTGACTTAGTTGAAGAAACTTGCCTTTTTTAAAGACCCAGATGCACCAGAGACCTATTGTGAACAAAGTAGTGATTTCATACTGAAGAAGGTACGTGAGCAAAATGTCATTCTACTAGCTTTAACCATTATCCGATCCTTTGCGTAGTTTGTACCCAGAAGAATCGAGACGCAGAGATCGATCCCAAACAGCACCTGAACCAGAAACAGGGTCTGCTTCACACCATCGAACCACGCTGAAACGAAACACAGCGAGTGAAGCCCAGCTGGACGCGTTACAACTTGGTCATAACATGTGTATGCCGTTGTAGCAGACACAGACGGTGTGTCGCAGATCGCGGTCCAAGATCTCATACGAATAAATCAGGTATTGGATGAACAGATGTGTAAAAAAACTCGTGCGGGACGGTGAGCCTTCTCGGTCCGGCAATTCCTAAATCAGCTACTTAGCTCCAGCTTGACTGACGAAGTATACTTACGTCCCAATTTATATTTCTCTATCTTTATTTCCATTCGTTCCCAGTGTATCCTGTTATATTTCTCTTTTGTTTCTGATTGACGACTTATGGATCAGAGTGTATCATTCAGGGAGAAAATGAGATAATAATAAAAAAGATTTGCGCTCCGTCTCCGGTTGTACAATAGTCGGTAAACGCATTGGAAATATTCATACATGCACAACGGAAGAGCGCCGCAATGCGCTAGAGAAAAAAATTGGTATGCTCTAAATTTGATCATTGAGGCGTTGTGTGAATTGTCATTCCCATCTGGATAGGGAAGAAGGGTAGACTTATGCATAGAAAACACAGCCTAATCGAAGACGTCACACCCATAATCTTGGTATCCCTCCCGCACAAACGTAATGATATGATCTGTCACGAAATAATTAGGAAGGCTCATACGAAGAAATGATAGGTGGCTTGCCTCCCAAGGTCCGTGTCGTGGAACCTACTTCACAATAGCAGTAATAATCTAGAGGACAGGGTCTCGGCTTCAAGTTGTAGAGTAGAAAGAAAAAGACACGGCGCTTACAGATCTATTTCCGTCTAAAAACCTCAATCTCTTCTCGCGCTTTAATTGGGTCGCACTTGACACCCATCACGTCAGGATATTCGTGTCTGAGGGGGGGAACAATAACGCTCTCAAATTTGGCCTCAAAGTGTCGCCTCCAGTCTCGCAGAGTGTGCACATAGTGTGGCCCAATGTTGAAAATGGAGTCAACGAGGCGTCCTTTGGAGCCAGATTGAAGAGTTTGAAGGAGGAATGTAAGGGATGGCAGGAAACCCCCTGGAAAGACTGGTTCACGTTAGCCTTCAGAATTGGACAAGTTCTCCGATGGTACTCACTCTATATTTTACCGATTTTAATAAGAATTCAAGTTAGATTTGTGTTCGGCTAGACATTGAGCGATGCACCCATTTCCGAATAAAGTCTATTTCATGCATGTATTTTTCGAATCCTGTTGAGTGGAGTGGTCAGCTTCTTCTCCAGGAAAACGACAGTATATACTCACGAGCCTCAGGTAGTATAGTAATCACCTGAATCTGTTTGGCAATGTCTGGGCCAAGAACTCATATACGGTCCTGCGCTAGCGACTGTTGTTGCACAGAGCATATCAGGGTGTCCACCATCACATTTGGGTATTGCTGGACGATAGTCATAGCCATAGAACCCCATCCAGATCCGATTTCTAAAACACGGTTTCCATCGCGTATCCCGGCTTTTTTGATGATGTGCTGTAATTTACAAGTCTGAGAGTTTTCAGTTCGTCTTCGGGTCCTTCGTTCTGTTGAAATAGAGTGATCCCATTGAGAGGTATCTGGCCCGATTCTGCTGGCGTTTCGGGTTGAGAGAGTGGTGGGGATAAAGGAAGAGTTTTTCGGGGGTCCAGTAGGCTTTCCAAGCTTTGCCTGCCAGTCCACTTGTGGGTGCTGGTGCTTTTTCATCTAAAATCGCTATCAAGGTCTTTGAAGATACCACATGAGTATGTTATATCTTCGGATAGGAAGCCTGAAAGAGTCTGGCCTTTAGACTGGCCCTACGTATGAAGCTATTCAAGACGCACTGGCAAACATATCATTGAAGATATAATAATGGGCCGAGATATTCGATCGCGAATTTCCAATGGTATTGAGAAAACGATAAGAGGTAAGTTTTTGGGAAAGCGAAATCAGGTATGAGAATCGGGAGTTCAGATTAGAGAGGTTATCCTTATTGATGAGAAATATTTGCCTGGCATGTTAGCCCTTGTGAACGATATGACTTCGCTTATTAAAACTGACCTAGAATAGTGATATCAAATTGTCGCACTGCACATCTCCATACATAAACGCTTTGGCAAACCCGAGGTTGCTCGTTGTACACAAACGAACCCAGAAGTTGTCGTTAACAACCCTAATCTCAGCCTTGACGCCTGCCTCATCATGCTCAGCGTCTTCTGCAGGTAAGGTGTAGGTTTGTCGATTTGTCACATTTCGGAGTTGTCCAACACGAATGTTCTGCAAGAGCCTAACTCCCTAGTTATTTGGAGGTCAAAAAGTGAAAAGGAAGTTGAACATACTTCACGACAACTTCACGACGGCAGCCTCAGCCACTTTGATGACGGGTGACCATCCTGTTCTTACACTGCCTCAAGGACACCGCTGCAAACCCTGTCAGCCAACGCGATGACGGAGAATGGGTGCTTCGCTGGCGTATCTTGAATATAGGAGTGAAAGGAGGAGTGATGGGCGCGCAAAGTGCTGATGCTTACCTTTATAATAATCTTTTACCCAGTAGGGAACTTGGTCGCTGGATTCCGTCCGATATGACGACCTGATTCCGATCACGATGGCTCCATCGAGAAACGTCACTTGAATGTCACGTAAAATGCCATGTTGGCTTATCTGAGAACCCTCCTTCTCGAGGAAACCGGTCTGCATGCGGCCAACGATAAGACTTACCTTTGAGGCTTGCATGTCCAAGTAAGTAGTTTTTGTCGAGACTTTGTCGCTGTACATCCTCTGATCTCAATACATGTACATCACCTGCCTAGTCGGCCCCCGCTTGACATCTTCCACATTGAATACTGACCTCGGTGCTCACCCAGATCCTCAACGGCAGCCTTCCCTAAGCCCTTGTTCCTAACCGATTCTTTTTGTAGGGGTTAACATTCACTCGTCGTTGTAGTCATAGTGTTGTTGTTCTGTTTTTTTTTGGTCGACATTGCTTGAGTTGAAAACTTGCGCAAGTTCCGTGTTGCGGTGGAGCAATCCGACGCCGTAGGATTTGCGTGAGAGGCCAGTATCTTCCAGTGAACAAATCGTTCGTCAGCTGGTGGAGGAGGAGGCATAGTGGAGTTGTGGCTGATTCGGTGAATATGCCGAGTTTGCGTGAGTGTAGCTACTTGGTGCAGGCTCGGGTCCTGCCCCCTTTCTCCCATTATAATGATGCGCAAGATACGGGTTATCTTTGGGGTTGGTGCCAGCCATGAGTGGCTGGTGGTGGTTTGATGTCAAGTGAGCACGACTTGCCTTTGTCATGAGCTAATGGCAACTCAAGGGTCATGCTTGCTTGAGCTTGATAGCAGACACTTTGTTGTTGCTGGGCACATTCCCATCTCCCTGTTGAATGTTGAGCTTTGGTTGCCATCAGGTAGTCGTCGTAACATTGAGGAATAGAGTTCGAGTTCGTCGTTGTACGCTTTGACGACGTCGTGGATGGAAGGTGTCGAGGTAAACAGCAAATAGCCTTATCAAGCAAGTATTACTTAGATCCGAAAAGGCTGCTATATTAAGAAGTTTCTTCACCTCGTGGCATCAACATATCTTCTACATATTTGCTGCACATATATGGTTGCCTTTTGTAGAAATATCTTCTCTGAATATCTTCGACGTTTGTCCACCCCCAAAATTCTTAATAATTCCGATGGAAAAAAAGTTATAAAATGAAATAAAAGATTTTAAATATCTTTCAAGTAATTTCGGCAGTTAAAAGGTAGCATTATTATTAATATCTACCCCATTTTTTCACGATAATTCCAGTGGATGTATAAGCCAGGGCCCGCAGTGTGGTTAAATAGCCAGCCAATGTGGCAGTGTCTCTTTTTCATGGATTAACAAAAGCTTAGGGGCAGACACATCAGTAAAATGACAAATGAGGAGTGCAAATGGTCATATGAGACATGATGTTGATCAGGTTGAAACGGCTGGTGATAAATTTCATTATTGAATTTTTGTTGAAATTTTTACGACATTACCTCTCATCTGACAAACTCAGCCATGGCATCCAACACTGAAGGGACTTCTCGGTGTGGCTTCTGTGGAAAGACCTTGCCAAATGCTTCAGCACTGAACAAGCATATTAAACGAACTATTACCTGCAACAAAGCATCACATCAGGAGTTTGGAACCTATATTGCCAATATCTGGAATGCACCTCAAGCGCCTGCCACAGGCCCATCTGGATTTTCTTTGGAGCCTGCCCCTGAAATGGTTGGACCACCTATGCCGATTGAAGGCAAATCCAAAACATCTGAACCTGATGATCAGTTTGATCAAGATCTTGAGGCCAGTCTCAACATACCTGAACCTCCAGCAGATTCTCCTCCACCACAAACTCCACAAGCTGTACAACCAATGAAGAGATTCCAGATCAGGATACCTATCCCAAGTCCCACATTGAGTATTTTCCCAAAGATAGAAAAGCCAGGGCTGGCTGGGGTTACGGTGTCCCACTTTTTGAGCGCATTCGGCATGAGCAGGAGGAGAGCAGTGCGTCATGGTGGGGACCCTTCGATAGTGAGGAAGAATGGGAGCTGGCAGAGTGGCTGATTCAAAATGTCGGCCAGAAACAAACTGATGCCCTTTTGAGGCTTCCTATAGTACGTGATTGTTTCACTGACAGCTGTCCCCGTGTTTACTGATGGAGCATCAAAAATAGACAGCCAATAGAACGAAGCCCTCTTACCATAACAACCATAGTTTTCTCAAGAAAGTTGATGCCCTGCCGACACAAGGAGCACCATGGACATGCGATATTGTTAGTGTTTAAAGGTTCAGTTCAGTCCGGTTTTTTGCCCTGAAAACACGCAACCGTGGACCGCAACCGGTCCAGGACCGACCCAGATATTGAGGGAACCGAATCGAACCACCTAGGACCGGTCTTTTGCGGTCCATGATACCGGTTCAGACCGATCCAGACCGGTTTTTTGCGTATAATTTATTATACCAATATAAACCATTTGTATCTCAACCATTATTACTCTGAAAAATAAACGGGTTATATAAAATAGTAAAGCATATAGAAACCCGTCATTCTACCAATTTTCAAGAGATTTAATGAACATTTGACATAGCTATGACTGAAACCGAATTACATCTCCTAGAGACTCGGGTGAAATATGGATTTGGTTATATCTTTCTCAATTCTTAACCGTTTTTGATGAAACAAAAACCCAATAAAAGGCAATAAACGTGGTTACAAGGCTATGTAACACATGTGACCGTTTAACCGGTTGCAACCGATTAAAACCAGTCTTTGAACGGTTTTAAAAGATTTTCGAAATGAGGCAACCGGCAACCGGACCAACCCCGAATTGGGGCAACTGCAACCGAAAAAAAGACCGGACCATGGTCCGGTTCAGTTCGGTCCACCGGCTTTTTGCGGTCCTATGGACTGAACCTTTAAACACTAGATATTGTAACGGCACTGGGGGATTGAACTGATGAAGAAGGAAAGCCAATGCCACCAGAGAAACTCAAGGCGAAATCCTGTGGATTGTGTGAAGGAGTTAATGAGTAACCTAGCTTTCAAGGTAGTGCTAAAATACGCACCTGAGCATGTGTACTGTGACAAGGAGGGGAAGATTCATGTCTATGACAAGATGTGGACTGGTGATTGGTGGTGGGACACACAAGTACGTTGCACTGGAGCTTGCCAGACAACCATGGACTGATCCCCATGACAGTGGAAGCTTGATGTGGGGGTGACAATTGCTGCTCTAATTATTTCTTCAGACAAGACTCAACTAACCCAGTTTCAGGGTGACAAGAAGGCCTGGCCTATTTACCTTACAATTGGAAACATTGAGAAGGATAAGCATCGTAAACCCTCGGCCCACGCCACCATCCTTATTGGGTATTTGCCAGTTGCAAAATTGGACAATTACACCAAAGCAACATGTTCTCAAGAGGGCTACCGACTTTTCCATTTCTGCATGAAGAAACTGTTAGCGCCTCTCATCAAAGCTGGGGAAGAGGGTGTCAATGTTACCTGTGCGGACGGCATTGTTCGTTGGGTATTCCCAATCCTCGCTTCGTATATTGTGAATTTTCTGGAGCAGTGTCTTGTTGCATGCTGCAAAGAGAGCTACTGCCCCAAGTGCCGAGTGGAACCAAAAGATCACAGGGAGATGGTGGACTCCTTGCTACAAGAACAAGAATGTAGCAAGACCATTTTAAGTCACAAAGAGACTGGGCGGCGTGTTGCTGCTTATGATAACGAGGGTTTCCGCCCTGTATGGAAGCCATTTTGGGCCAACCTTCCTCATATCAATATCTTCACATGTTTCACACCCGACATCCTTCACCAGCTTCACAAGGGAGTCTTCACGGATCATCTAGTCAGCTGGTGTGTTGAGCTTGCAGGCAAATATGAGATAGATGCACGTTTCTGCAGTATGCCTAGTTATCCAGGCCTTCGACACTTCAAAAATGGGATCTCCCACATATCCCAGTGGATGGGGCGAGAACACAAGGAAATGCAATGTGTCTTTGTCGGTTTGCTGGTGGGTGCAGTACAACCTGCTGTTCTGTGGACTGCATGCACAGCTATCAACTTCATATACTATTCACAACTGCACATACAGTTGAGTGCAAAAAGAATGGACCACCTGTCATTTTCTGGTTCTTTCTGAGAATCTATTGTAGTCTAAATGTAGTTGTGTATTCCTCTACATTATGTAGTTGTATTACACTTCCCTTGGTATGGGCTAATTTGGGTGAAAGCTGGAGCTGTGATGAGGTTTTTGTTCTGATGGCCATTTTCAGCACCTGTTGAAAAAAATATGCGCTAACTGGACAGAGAGCTAAAATGTACCTCGTTAGCCGAAGAGCCCATCAAAGAATCAGTG